TTTGGACAGAGATGTTGATTTCAGGAACCGAAAAGCAACAGAAGCAAAAGATAGGAACCAAAACTCAATAACAGCATGCATCCACAGATAGTGGTGGAATAATATCCGTAGCACCACTACGCTTTAACATCAAATCCATTTGTCCAGAAACTATCAAGAAATTTTCAGCAAAATTAGTGTTAGTTGAATATCCCAACACCTTTTATATATATATACATGACTGAAAATCCTTGGAATCAATGACGGAGCCAAGGGGCTGAGGGGGGGGGGGGCATGCCCCTAAATTTTGAAAATTTTAATTTATTATATGTAAATATATGTATAAGACAAAGTTGGCTCTCCTAATTTTTTACAATTTTAGTTTATATTATGAGAGTTTATATATATATATATTTGTGTGTGTATCAATTAGCTACCTTTGATTTAATTTTTTCTTCAAAAAAACTTATTTATTTTTTATTGTGCTAATTATTTAACATTCAAAAAATAAAACATATAATTTGATAATCCATAGGAAATTGACCCAATTTGATATATTATAATAAAAGACTCAATTCATAATTATCAATGGGTTAAAACAAAAATAATTACTTTATTGGTCCATATACGAATATACAACTTAGCCTAATTGATAAAAATTTTAAAATTAGTGATATATACTCTTGTTGACCCATATACAAATATACAAATAATTACTTGAAGGCTTGGTGAAAATAAGAAATTGAGTGATCTATCCTGTTGTTGACAGATTGATTATATTTGTTCTCACTCTTCCTATGTCAACCGCAACTATAGAATGTGCATTTTCAATAATGAATATAATCAAAACAAAGATCCAAAACAAAATAAAAGATAATTTCTTGAATGATTGTCTAACAATGTACATAAAAAAAAGGAAGTTGTTCAAAAATTTAGTACTGATTCAATTATAGATGAAGTTAGTTCCATAAAAGAACGTAAAGCTCAGTTTACTTTTAAGAAAAGAGGTTGAAATTCAAGGTATGCTAACATAACTTTTACTTTTTATTAATTGAAAATAATTATATTTATATTGCATAGTTATATTTTTGTTTTTGCACAAGTGACATATTGGAGCATTTTCTCATAATGTACAATTTGGGTAGTTTGTGATGTTATAAGATATTTAATCAAATGTTATTTCTTATCCTAATTTTTGTTATGACTATACTACATATTTATGAAATTGACATACCTTTATAATTAAAATTAATATTTGATATTTTAAGATGTCATATATTTAAATAGATAAAAATTATTTTGAATATAACATATTAAGATAATTTTTTAAAAAAATTTTTGCCCCCCTCCCAAGGAAAAAATCCTGGCTCCGTTCTATAGTCTATAGAATGGACATTTTCAATTCTGAAGATAAACAAAACAAAGCTCCAAAACAAGATAAAAGATAATTTCTTAAATGATTGCCTAACAATGTACATAAAAAAAGAAAGTTGTTCGAAAATTTAACATTGATTCAATTATACATGAATTTAGTTCTATAAAAGAATGTAAATCTTAATTTACTTTTAATAAAAGAGGATGAAGTTTCAGGGTATGCTAACATAACTTTTATCTTTTTTTTTTTAATTAAAAATAGTTATATTTTTTTAAATTAAAAATAGTTATATTTTTGTTTGTGCGACTTAGGCTCCGTTTGATAACACTGAATCTGAATTCTGAATTCTGAATACTGAAATAATTAATTTGCTGAATTTTAAGCACTGAAAAGAGATATATGAATGTCTGAATCTTAATACTGAATCTATTTATACTGTTTGATAAATATTCATAATTTAATGCTTAATAAGTTAGATTGTACAATTTTGCCCTTCTATCTTTTAATCCAAAAAGGAAATAAAACCTATGATTTAATTAACTTAAAATTGTTATGTATGAAAATGACAATGATTGTGAAGAGCAATGCATACAATGACAATGTTTCTTTGTGTGGGAAAAGGGTATGGTTTCATCGTTTTGAGAATGGGAAAACGAGCTTTTAATACTCTAAAAGCACGTTCAATTACATTTCTCAATCTTGCATGTGCTTGGTTAAAGCGTTCTTCTTTTGATCTTGGACGAGAAACATTTCGAAAATCAGACAACCAATATCTAATATTTCGATATAGTGTCATAAAGTCACGTGTGTGTGGATAAGCTGCATCACATAAATAATATTTATCTGTACAAAAAAAATATATATCAAAATATAAATGTTTGTGGATGAAAATTACTGCAAAAAAATACTATTGTTAAAAAAAAATTTTGAATAGAGAATATCAGGTTATTTTGTTTAATTAGATAAGGATTTTGAATAAGGAATATTAGGTTGTTTAATTAGATAAGGATTTTGAATGTAATTAACAAACAGGGATATATTTGGTAGATAAGATAAAGTAGTTGAAGTAAATCTCTTGATTCTTATCAAATTAAGCATTCAGCTACGATTCTTGTGCTGAAAAAAATACATATAAATTTAGCACCACTTAATAAGTTCAGCAGGTGAATTTTTATTTATCAAACACCCACAACATCTGAATGTCTGAATGAATTCAGTTTCAGCACTTTTTTATGTTATCAAACAGGCACTTAGATTGTCTGTGATATTATAAAGTATTTAATTAAAGGTTATTTCTTGTTTTAATTTTAGTTATGACTATGTTACATATTTATGAAATAGGCATACCTTTATAATTAAATTTAATATTTGATATTTTAAGATGTCATATATTTAAATAAATAAAAATTATTTTGAACATAAGTTAATTTTGTTCAAAAAAATTTTGGCCCTCCAAGGAAAAAAGCATAGCTCCGTCACTGCTTGGAATATCAACGTGGAATATTCAACTGTTAGCTTTAATGCCAATTAAGTTAGACATCATTAGCTTATTACATGGCAAACAAGAGAATTCCACCATCATCGTTCGGTCACGCAAGGGCAGAATACGCCCAGGAAACATGTGCCATACGGGATCTGTATGAAAAGAGAAACATGTAACCAATTTCGTCAGCCAAAACTAAAGATGCCAACCAATTTCGTCAGCCAAAACTAAAGATGCCAACTTTGATAGAAAAGTTTCGACCTTGTTACTTAAAATCAACAAGAAAAACTTCTTAAAATTGAATAACAGAGAAATATGCATTTTAAAAAAATGTTGTTTTTCAGCAAATAGTTTTTGTATTCAACTTAAAAGGTAGAAACTTTATTGAGTTTTGCGGAAAAAGATTTGAACTTTCAGCACTTATCTTCAAAATGCTACTATCCTATTAGATTTATGAGTCTTGAAGATACCATATGTTCTCGAAAGTATTATTTTGCTCTCTACTGAGCTTAAGCAGGAAGAGGGGCCTGAGCAGCAGCAGGAAGAGGATTAGCTAATCTGAAGGTTTCACTATCACCTAACCTCCTTACTGTGATGTCCATTCCGTCATCCCCTTTAATTGCACGTCTCCTCAGGTCATTTTGTCTCCAAGCTCTTGCAGTTGGACCGATTGCCGTTATCGCAGCCAGTTCCCACCTGTAAGTCATTTTGCAGAGATACGTCGGCCGAGTGGCATTGAGAGGAACAGGAAATTCTTGAAAGGGGTATGGCGGATTCTCTGCGGGCTTTCTAGTTCTGGGTCTTGCGGCTGCCATGCTTCTGGACTTTTGCTGGTTTTGCCGATTTTGAGACGGGGAACGGCGATGAAATGTACTACATGGGGTGGCTTGCAGTGCTTATATGCGTGCTGAGTCTTTAGTCTATTAATGCATGCTATCACCACCACCGTCCATCACAGCATACCGTCCTTTCTTTTTTTTTTTTTTTTGGTTATCAACGACAGTCAAGCAGCTCAATACATAGATACCGTCCTTTCTTTCGCATCATCATCACCTCTTAGGATTGCAGCATAAATATAAATATTTTCTTTACCCTATTATAATGTGCCTTTTATGATAGTTACTCTAACCAAATTGGTGTATGAAATGCATCAAAAACTTAATCAAACTATCTTATTTGCAACTAGAATCTTGACCAAAAAAAATTTGTACAACCACCTGATTTTAAACAATTAAAAATCATAAGAACCATTAGAAACTAATCTTGTTACGAATGAAGTGCTATAAGAATTCGTAGTTATTTATACTATACATATATATATAAAGTAGGAGGCTAAGAGCAATTATTAGGAGTATATTAGCCTTTCGGTTAGACTAATTCTTTAATGCTGTGTAGAGTCTTGTCCCAACAATATACAGTGAGTCATCACATGGAATCGATCATGGGACTTGCTGGTAACTATCAGACTATGGAACCAGTCGCACTATCCGCGAAGGCAATGTCACGTAAATATTTATCGTCACTTTATAAATTTCTATCCTTTCATCATTATAAAAACTAAACATTTTCTTCAGTTATGTAGAACACTATGCCAATAACCACCTATTGGCAATTTTTACTTTAAATACCTAACTACATATTCATCAATATAATCACTTTTAACTATTGTAATCACCGCGAATACAATAGTCATCATTCATTGAAAGAATATTAAGAGATCATTGGAGCGGATGTTATAGGAGTTTCTTTCGTATAAGAACAAAAATGAAATTTTTGTAAAAATTTGATTCACACAAAACATTATACATTGTCTAAATTGCATCTACACTGATGTGTGATGATCTGCCCTTAGCACTATGAAAAAGAAATTCTCCCTTCATAACTCTTTTTTTCGTTTTGGGATAAACATCTTTTTTTTTTTTGGGATAATTCTCCCTTGTCGGGTAACTTAGCTGGTGTTGCTCTTAAGTAGTCCCCGTCTTGTAAACGTTTAAACTTATTTATTATATATATATATCCCGTTTTCTACAAAAAAAAAAAAAAAAACTAGTGTTGCTCTTACTTTTTGGACCAGTTAGTAATTAAGTGCCTGGGCACGCTATTGCAGAAGGCCTCAGTCGACCAATATAAATACCGACCTGGTCACGTTAGTCTAGAATTTGCCACAGTCGGCTTTCATATCTTATTTTTCTGACTCTCCCAATTTTCTCCACCGAGTACCTCTGTCTGTTTTGCATTTCGCCCATTTGTCCTCTTCGTCTTCTCGATACTCTCAGTCGGTAAAAACCCTAGTGGTGCTCACCTAGCTCTTCTGCGCGATGATCCCGTTTGCTTTGACCGCGTCTACTCAGATTCGGTATCTGCTGCAGAGCTTGAACGCCTCCAACTCCGATGCCGTCCTCCAAGAACTCTGTCAGGTTTAATTACTCGACCATACCCCTGTATTTTGACATGGATTAATAATGTCTATTGGTGATTTCCCTGTGCATAGTTTCTTGAACTAGTCGACTTTTCTTGAATCTTTATGTCGTTTGAACAATTTGGTTTTTGTGATTTGCAATATATTCGAGCTCTATATCAATTTGCTATGATCGTGAAGCTGGTATGGAAATTGGGTTAAATGATGTGGCTTTTTCTCTAGAAAATTGATGCTGTCAAAGGAAGTTGGGGGAAGAGCACAGGAGTTCTGATGAAGTTTCTGTATTTTGTATTTCTGAGTGTACTATTACCCTATGTGACGTTTGGACTTTGTGGGTGGAGTTAATTATGGAAGTAAAGGGCCAATTTTTGTTGAGTTTATGGTAAAATGAAGCTATGAAAGGTTGTTATGTTAGTATTTTAGTATTCTTGGCACCTCTAATGTGCTGCAGCTCACTTATTGAAATGTAGCGAATGACTTGATAAGATGATAAAGAAGTAAAATGCAGCTACTAGATCACGCCTAATGTTGATTATTATTATTGAGTCAATGACTTGATAAGATGATAAAGAAGTGAAATGCAGCTAGTAGATCACGCCTAATGTTGATTATTATTATTGAGTCAATTTCCTGTATCGTTTCCAGTGCACTAGTATTTGTCTCTGCCATTCATGTCATACCTTTCTCTGAAATGTTTACTTTCCATTTTTCTTTATTATGATAGGCATTATCACAAATAAAACAAGAACATGTTCACCTTATCAAAGTTCATGCTAAGCTGTGTTACGTCATTGGTAAAATGGAAAATGGTACTTAAATGTCAGGATGTGCTAATTTCACTTGTAAAACTCCATTATTGTGGTGCCTATGCTAGAGCTTAGTTTTGCTAGAATACTAATTATTTGGCAGATCATCAGAGTTTTTCCCCCCCTTTTCCACTTCTTAATAAAAAATCTTAAGCTGTGAAATGCAACTTTAGATGTCCTTGGAAAATGGAGAGTTTCTGTTTGTTGCGGGTATGACCTCAGTAAACAAGGATTGAACATTTGTCTTGATGATTGAATACTCTTATCACTACTATTAGATTTCGCTGTACTGTCCAATTTTTCTGTTGCTTAATGATTAAGACGCCCAAAAGTTGAAGGGCATATAGTCTGTAGACAGTTGGTTGTTTCCACTATGACGCTGGAGTGGGCCCATGCTTTGGGCCATGGACCGGCATTCCATTTAAGTATAATTCATAAGTGTTCTTGAGTGACAATTTTGAAGTTTCTCTTTAGGTTTCAAGTCTCCGAAGTTGACATTTTTGTCAATACTGTTAACCGCTTTTCAATTTGTTGAAATAGAACTGTTGCTGCTCAGGAACTGTTCATGATGGGTTGTTCAAACCATTGTTTTCTAGGTGAAGGATTGCTTAGGGCTTAGCTGTCATGGGGTATGGCCTGGCTTGCCTCATTGAATAAGTGATTATGATCAAGTGTCAGCATTTGTGCTGAAGTGAAAATTCATTCAATCAAGCCAACCCATTTTGATTAATAAAGGTTTTTAACTGAAAATAAACCAACCCATTTTGATCATGGTGTGGCAGAAAAAAGCTTAAATAAGTAGTACAAAGAAAAGCTATTTGAGCCACATGCAGGAGAGCATGAGGAGGTGAGAGGATAGAGTGAGAGAAGCATGCAGGGGTTATAGCTAGCACTGGATTGGTGCGGGTTAGTTTGTTGGTAGAGATAAAAGAAAAGCGACATAAATTAAGAACAGAAACAAACAAGGAGGAGGAGGAGGATAAAAAGAAGAGATGGGAGGGCAAGAGGACGATCTTGCCCTGGGTACATGCAACTGTGAGATGGGACTGTAGATCAAAGCTGATTGGATCAATACTTGATCTTTCGGGTGTACATTAGGAATTGTTAGTATATAATTGATGGGATGGTTCAACCTTTATTGTCTTGCTTATATCTTTTCATTTTGTGTGCTGATCTTGCTCAAATGTGTCATCATTTCTTCCTTGATAAGGCCTTCTTCATGATTCTTCCAACTTTGCTGTGCTCATGAATTTTTTCCTATGGCTGTTGGCTCCTGGTGACTGTTTTGAAAGTATAATTTATCCAAAAAATTTACTTGCATTTGAGGTTCTGCCTTTGCATTTCCATTTGTTTTTAATGATTTTCTTTTAGGATGAAGTACTTACATTTCCATTTGTTTTTAAAGATTTTCTTTTAGGATGAAGGACAGCAGTGGTTTGTGTTTGAACCCTAAAACCAGTTGTTGACCAAATCTAGCATTTAAGCCAAAAGCTAGTCGATAATCATATCTAGCTTCAACTCTTAGATATTTGTGCTCATTTTGTGGATATGCAAGAGTTTGACACAAAGGATGTTAAGTTGCCAGTGGAGTGGTTAAATGCTTACAACATATAGAAAAATATCTACCCTGCACATTTTACTGGCTTTGCTTTGAACTGCATTTCAAAGTTGTAAGTTATCACAGCTCTTTTGATGCTGCTTTTGCATTGTGAGGAACAATCAATGTAATTGTTAAGAGGATTCTCAATTAAGTTGGAGTTCATGGAGGACTATACTCCATTAAGCCTGTTCTTTTAAGAGGTGTATCTGAATTGTACTTGTGCAGAGTACAATGTTAATGTGGGTGGTTTTTTAATGCGACTTGTCTGTCATTTGAATGCATTTGATATTTGAGACTCTTGTTAATGGTTTGTAAATAGAATCCTGTAATGTAGATTAGAATTGTAGTAATCTGTGTTTAGGCTCTGGCAATTATGAATCTCAGGAGGAGTTTGATTTATATGAGGAGTTTGGGAAAAGAATACTTTGACCAACAAGATTAATCATTCACTCAACTAATTCTAATGTTTTTGTGACAGTTCACTGCATATGGAGTTGAAGGAAGCATATTGTTACTTCAGACTTGCTTGGATCATCTAAATATTCATGGGAAAGATTTTAAGAATGTGCAATTTGAACCAGTGTTTGGTTCAGTGTTTAGATATATCCTGGATAAGCCCAATTTCAGCACAGTGTTCTTTCAATCTGTAAAGAATACAATCAATGAAGAATTTCTGGAAAGTCTTTGTAATGCTTTGCACCTCTCAGCATCTGAGAGGATTGCAGTTGGTCTTGCTCTGTCAGATTCAGAGAACCTTGACATTAGATTGTATGGTAAGGCTCGTTTTCCTCCCATATGCCTTCACTTGTGAAGGCGTCGAACAAAGTTATTCAGTATAATGTTGTTGGTTAAAATTAAGTAAATTGACTATTAGAGACGTGCAACTGTTGCTAATAATGCTCACCTGTTATTGTTCTATATATTTGTTTTACTTTGCAGGAAAAAACTTCTGCATGGCTCAGATTGCAGAATTATGTGCCGATCAAATGCCTGTTGACTCTGTGGAGCAAATTCAGCAGATTCTGATGTTCCTTCATCGGTCTGAAGGCCTTTCAAAGCATGTAGATGCATTTATGCGGATGTTATCTCTCGTACAATTGAAGGAGGGCACACAGTTCATCTTAGCTCCACTCTTTTCAGACGAACTTCGTGAGGCTAACTTCTTCAGGTATTCTATGTTGATGGTTGGCTCTTTTATTATTTCTTTGCTGAGTATCTTGAGGATGTTTACAAAGTCATCAATTTTTTGATCTGTTATTGTCTTGTTTGTAGGAACTTGAATTTTTCCAATCAAAATGATGAGGATGATTTTGATGCTGTCCTAGCTGAAATGGAGAAGGAAATGTGTATGGCTGATATATTGAAGGAATTGGGATATGGTTGCACATTTAGCGTTTCAGAATGCAAAGAGATGTTGTCTCTTTTCTCACCACTTACTGAGATCACTGTTGCTAGGATGCTTGGTACAATTTCCCGTACCTATACTGGCCTTGAGGACAATCAAAATGTTTTCTCAACGTTCCGTTCAGCCCTTGGTAGCAGCAGTTCATCTGATATGCCTACTTTGAACTCTTGGAATCCCGATGTCCTCGTAGATTCAATCAAGGAGCTTGTGCGTCTTCACTGTCAAGCTCTCTGTGTTTATCTGTATACATGTGCAACTGAATGTTCACTTGTGTATGTTTTATGTTTTATTGTCTTCAGGCTCCTGAAATTAACTGGACAGCTGTTATTGAAAACCTGGATCATGAGGGATTTTATGTCCCTAGTGAGGCTGCTTTTTCATTTTTCATGTCTGTTTATCATCGTGCATGCCAGGTAGGTTTTTTGATAAGAATATCTGCCATTATATGGCCTCAGAATAGGAGGATTATGGAGTAATTTCTGGAAGATCAAATATTATTGATACCTTGTACCTGTAGATGCTGAACTTCGAAACTGACTTTGTAGGATCCCTTTCCTCTTCATGCTGTTTGTGGCTCTGTTTGGATGAATACTGAGGGCCAGCTCTCTTTTCTTAAGTATGCTGTTGCAGTACCTCCTGAAGTGTTTACTTTTGCACATTCTGGCAGGCAGTTGGTATGGTGCTTTTTATTGATTTTAATTTTTGTTAAATAGATTTTCCCCTTGTTCTTGATCTTAATAGCTTATATGCTATTTTGGCAGGCTTATCTAGATGCTGTGAATGGCCACAAGTTTCAACTTGGACATGCAAATCATGCGTGGTTATGCCTTGATCTTTTGGAGGTTCTGTGCCAGCTGGCTGAGAGGGGTCATGCAAGTACTGTGCGATCCATTCTTGAGCAACCTCTAAAGCAGTATCCAGAAATCTTGCTCCTTGGGATGGCTCATGTTAATGTAGTTGCCTTGCTTGTTCTAATTACATGAATTGATCTTTTTCCCTTGTTATTACATTAATTTTCTAATCTTTTTATCTCAAATTGCAGACTGCATATAATCTCATCCAGAATGAAGTGTCTTCAGCTGTGTTCTCCGTGATACTCAAGAATTCAGCAGGGAATAGTATGCTTCTTCATTTGTGGCATGTCAACCCTAGCATGCTGTTGCGGGGATTTGCAGATGCTCTTAATGCTGACCAGGAGAATGTAAATAGGGTTTTGGATGCCTGCCTGGAGCTGAAGGTTGGATTTTGTCTCCAGTCAATTTTATTGAGCAGACTACCCAATTTGCTGCAATTGGATGAGAAATTAGTGGCTTGTTTTGTGTGAGATGTGGTATTAGAACTTGGCTAGGAGCAACTTAAGCTAAGATAAGATGTTCAAGTGGTCCTGGAAGTTTTGCTTTACTGTTGGGCTGTTTTTATTTTATTTTATTTTATTTTTAAACATAAGCATGGTTGCATCTTAAACTGATAGATATCAAACTTAGCTTCTAATTCTCTCTCGTTTCATTTATTTGAAAGATCTGATGGTTTGGTTGTTTTTCTTGTTATGATATTGCAATTTGCAAAATTCTTGATTTGGTATCATCTTGCTTCCTCTATTTCATCCAGTTTGGAAAAAAAATTCTGTTGTTAATTCAATGCATTGGCCCATGAAACCTGTTAAGTAATTTTTGGTTTCAAGTTGTTACAAGCATATGACTTTGACTTCAATGACATTGATGTATCAAATCCAGTTTCCTCATTCGTGGGGTGTGTTTTGAGCAGACATGTATAATTGTGTTCAATTTGTTCCAAAACTGAATGTGCAATTAAATTCTTCCTTCCTTTCCCATTCAGTATGATTCGTTTGGATATGATGTTAAAAACTAACTTTGTTGTTTTCCCTTCTAAATATCTCAACATGTCTGTTTTGTTTCCCAGATTCTATCTCCGGTGCTGGATATGATTCCTTCTTCTTTTGCTATTAGACTTGCTGCGGTTGCTTCTAGAAAGGAACCTATTGACCTAGAGAAGTGGTTGACCGCGAACTTAATGACATACAAGGATGCTTTCTATGAGGTGACCTCATTATGCCTGCGAAGCAAATTACTGATGTGTCAAATTCACTGTGTGATTCTGCAGTTTTGAGCATTTGTAGTACTTATACATGTTTGGAATTGAAATTCTTGTTTTTGATTTCAGGAGTGCATAAGATTTCTAAAGGAGGTTCAGCTTGCTGCTCAGGAAGTTTCTGCTAACCACTTCCAACCTTCTGGTGCCATGTGGAATATTTGTTCAGAGACTTCTTCTACCTTCTTAAAGGTTTTATTTAGATTTTAAGATGATTTAGTTATAATGCCATCTTCATCATGGTGCATTACCTTGAAATTTTGCTTGCAGGTCCTTCAATCGCATACAGACCAGTTAACCTCAGGCCACTTGCCTGAAGAATTGGAGAAATTGCATGAGTTATATATGCATGCCAATTCTAGACAGAAAAACGGTAGCAATGCTGATCCGTCATCAACTGATGGTTTTCCTGCTGACATTGAATCTGAAGCAAACTCTTATTTCCAGCAAATGTTTTCTGGTCAACTGACCATTGATGCAATGATTCAAATGCTTGCTCGTTTCAAAGAATCTCCAGAGAAAAGGTCATCTCTCCTTTCTGGAGTTTTTTTTAGGATGTTGAACTGTTATTTATTTATTTATTTTTGTGTTGGTTCGCATGTTGATCTGCCAAATGAAGATGGGATTTGATTCTTACAACAATATGATGTTTGATTTTTGGTTATCATTTTGGTATTTTGTGACAATTTGTGGTCTTATCTCAATAAAATAAATTTGGTATTTCTTCTGGAGGTGCCTTTTCACATCCTATTAACATTAGGTTGCACATATGCTGCCATTATCATTTTGGAGCACAAACGCAATGTCTTTGATAGTGCTTTTGTAAAAACGACGTCAAAAAATTTGAATTTGAAATGTTGTAGAATTCTCAGGGGTTCCAATCATAAATGGTGACATTATATGAACAGTGTTTGTTGTCTCTGACTGTATATGTACCTTTTGTTTGAATTGAATAATGATTCTGATCAGTGGGATTTTTGTTGACTGACAGGGAACAATCAATTTTCGAGTGCATGATCGCTAATTTATTTGAGGAGTACAAGTTTTTCTCCAAGTATCCTGAAAGGCAGCTCAAGATTGCTGCAGTTCTTTTTGGTGAGAGTTTATTGTATTTTGGTGTCTCTTAGGTTACGGGTGTTCTCTCTTGTGCTTGATATCATTGGTTTTCTCTCTGATTTTTCCTCATTGTTAGTAGAAAGTTTTGTAGATGATTACAAATTGGTTAGTACTCAAGCTGTGGCATTATCTTATCTTTGATTCTCTGCCAAGCTTGATTTTTTTTTTCTTTTACTCTTTGCAATTGGTTGCATTTTTTTCCCTCTGAGATGTCGCTTTCTGTTGGCTGAACTATTTCCAGTTGTGGTAGGAGCTTGGTTATATGCTTTGAAAGTGGCAGTTTGTGTGGAGATTATATTCTTTTTTGGAAAATATTAGGCACGATGTTCATGTTGGTGGTATGGGGAACCAGTAGTTTACCCATGTAACTTTGCCATTTCACACATGCCATTATATAGATAGTTCTCATTGTTCACTCTGTCTTAGTTTGGATGTATATGGCATATCTATGTGCTTGCTTAGAATTGCTATGAAGATGGTGAGAGGAAGTGTTGTCACATTTATTGAGGTGCTGCCTGGAGTTATCTGTAGTTTGTCAAGCTATCTTGGAATATGACTTAGATGCCAAAAAAGTGTCCGAGGGCACAGGTGGAGAGCAGGTGTATGGTGAAAATAACGGGGAAGATTTACTGATTTTATTGAGGAGGGTTTCAACGAGTGAATCAAACGATCTATATAAATTTTAGTGAGGATGAAGAGGCTGCTTGTAGAGCTTGCAGTCCATTATGAGATGGGACTAGGTCATTGAAAGAGATGTGGGGTTTGGGAAGCATTTTTTCGATTACCTATTCTACTATTTTTGCTTCTTTGGCTAATATCCTACTGAGCATATGGATACATGAAATATTTACACCCTCTTAACTGAGCATAAGGATATGCCTAAAGATTTTCTCTTGTTTCTTGTAGTATGATAATGTACTGGTGAATATTATCCCTTTCCCCACTGACAAGGTGTTTGCTCATTAACCATTAATTAGTGGCCTGAAGTATTGGTCCGCACAATCCTAGCACTTAAGCCTCATTTACTGCTATGGCTTGCCATAGTCTTCTATTTTGTCTATTTGGAAGAAATTAATCACAGTTCTTTGCTGTCTCTGTGTTGATTTCTGTTGCAATGATTAGTTCTGTTAAATATATTTATTGTGTTTTGCAGGATCTCTTATCAAGCATCAATTGGTGACGCATCTCACGCTTGGTATTGCTTTGCGGGCTGTTTTGGATGCATTGCGCAAACCTGCAGATTCGAAAGTGTGTTCTCCTCTTTTGTCTTGCAATATAGAAGACCATTATTATCTCTGCCATGCTTACTAACAGTGTCTCCATGTGCATGCAGATGTTTGCCTTTGGGACTAAGGCTCTGGAACAGTTTGTGGATCGCCTGATTGAGTGGCCACAGTACTGCAATCATATCTTACAAATATCTCATCTACGTGCTAATCATTCAGAACTTGTTGCTTTTATTGAGAGGGCGCTTGCCCGAATCTCTGCCGCACATTCAGAATCTGATGCACTTCATGGTGCTGCTGGTGATCAACATGGTGCTATTCAGGCATCTTCCCCTAACATGGAAGTAATGATCTTTGTCAATCTTCTCATGTTTGTTTCATTTAGGGTTTCATGCTTTTACTACTTTAAGCTTAAATGAGTAGATAATACACGACCTGCGCATGCTGTAGATGTGAATTTTGCATCACGCAGTTTTGACAGCTTGAAATATTATGGTATTACTATACATCATGCTTGTTGGTTTGTTTGTGATTGATGTGATGTAAATGTTGTTTTCTTAGTTTTGACATGCATTTGGCTGATTAGTTGTCGCATTAGATTTTCTGTTAATATCCTATAATTTTTGGTAGTAAAATAGTTTATGGTTTAGAAGTAGCAAGTTGACTTACACCCTCAAACAATTAGATGCTTTGACACTGCTATTACTGGATCTGTTGGTGGTCTATTTGTCAGTTTTGGATTATATTGCATTTTTAAGATTTTTGTTTAACCACAGGCAATAAGCTTTTCCTTTTCCGGTTCAGGGAGGGTTTTATTCTTTAATGTTTATTTTATGGTTTGTCTTCTTTCTAGTTGTAAATTGGTAGATGATGACGTGGAACATCTCATCCTAGCATAATTCAGTTTCTTATGTCGTGCAAGGGGAGAACATAATTCACGGTTTTCACAATGTACCAGCTCGTATTAAATGCACATCGATTGTTAGAACTCCCTTCTATAATAAATATATCTGAGTGATTCTAAATCTCTTAGAATTAGACTTGGAATTGTTAACTTTTGTTTTGAAGCTAAATAGATACAACTGAATTGTTTCATTTCATGAATTCTAGTCTGTTGGTGTACCTCTGCTTCCTTTAGTTGGCATTTTATCCCTCTTTCCAATGTGGTGGAAAGAAATGCTGGCATATCTAGATGAACACTGTTACTGGTCTGCTATGCTGGAAATTCATTTTAATGCTTCCACGAAATTCCATGGCTTACATGTCTCATATTTTCTGTTGTTCATGACGAAGTCATGGGCCCAGAATTGGTTGAATCCTACATAAGGAGGAAGAAGCGTGTCGGTAGTTGGTGGGTTAGTGTGGTAGATGTACTTGAGCTTTTATGACTTTCAAATGGTACGTGGCGCCACCAGGCTGCAAATAGTGAAGGAAAGAAATATTTAACTGCTGGCGAATTAATGAATGAACATTTGACTAAGACCTGGCAGCATATTTTGCTGAGCACAATCTTCGGTTCATCAGATTTTCCTGCCTGATATTAGACTTGGAAAGTTTCACTTATTATTTCATTCATATATCTTGAAGTTGGTCATGAATGCAAACTTTTTAATCTAAATTTTCTGCTAGAAATATGTAATAGTTTGATTTTAGACTGCCTCAAGGGATGAGGAAACTGTCATTTTGATCATCCAAATCTCTTAGCAGCTACGTAGACTTCTGAGTTCCATAGGATTTTCTTCATAATTGGTTTATGAAGTTGAAGTTTATGGCTTTCTAGGATTTTCTTCATAATTGGTTTATGAAGTTAATGTTTATGGCTTTTCTTTTCAGATGTCAAGCTCATCATTTCCATTGGTTGGATCTAGTAATTCACAACAAGGCCTGCAAGTTTCTTCTGCAATCCAGCTCCCACAGAGGCAGCAAAATCAATTAGATGAGCGGAAAACCTCTGGAAGCCTGCCCAATTTCTTAAAACCTGCTTTATCCTCTGCAAGCCAAGCTGCTGGTCCCCTAGCAAGTGATACTTCTGGCATTCAGAAGGTTTGCTTTATGTAGTACATATCATGGATGACACAGAAACTTCTTCGTCTCTTATTTCACATTATCTTACTGCAATTTATTCCTGCAGTCACAAAATGCAGTTAGTGCCTTGGCTGCACACACTTCATCTCCTGGTTTTGTTCGTGCATCACGTGCCATTACCTCAGCAAGTACTTTCAACGATCCCTGCATATGTGCACTTTTATTTTGTTCTCTATGCGTGCATGTTTGTATATATTTTGTATCTTATTTATATGTACCGTGTTGTTTTTTGACTGTTAGCTTGATTTACAGGGTTTGGCTCTGCTTTAAATATTGAAACACTTGTTGCTGCTGCAGAGAGAAGAGAAACTCCTATAGAGGTATTTTCTAAACCAAGTAATGTTGTCCAGGAGTAACTTCTTCGGTGATGCATGGTGGTGGAACCTCAGTTTTTCTTAGCAGATAGATTAAATAAAGTACATCAGGATATGATTATGGATGCATCTATCACAAAGAAATTTGCCTTTGCAACTAATACACAGTGTTGTAAACTGCTTTCTTGGTTATGATTATTGACACATAATTTAAGGATATGTCAACTTTAGATCATCAGGTTTTTGGTTTTATATGGAATTTGTTCAATGGTTTTCCGTGAATTTTCTATTTTGCTTCAATAGTTAGGCTTATGGTGCAATCTTGGTTGTAGAGGTAGTGTGACTTCCCTCTCCTTCTCCCCCAACATTATTCAAAGGAATGAAGCACATTTCCTTACAAAATTTTTTTAGGAGCAGGAATAAGAAAATGTTGTTACCACTGGTCCTGAGGAAGCATCTCTATTCCATTTCTGGTGTAGATTGTCTATATGACTTTAAGTTTCCAATTGCGTCTTCTAATGACTGCTATTTTTCATATTTTATCTGTTTTGCAGGCTCCAGCATCAGAGATTCAGGATAAAATATCATTTATTATCAATAATCTATCTGCTGCAAATGTTGAAGCTAAAGCGAAAGAATTTACTGAGATATTAAAAGATCAATACTATCCCTGGTTTGCTCAGTATATGGTGATGAAAAGGTTAGAAATTTCTAATCAATTTTGTTGTGGTGTATATTTTTTGTGAATATAGTGAAATGCCTTATTTACCTCTGCTTTTATACCTTGTGTCGTTTATTAATCTTGATGGATTATTTGCTTTTTCAATTTTGCCCTCACAGTTGGTCATTTTATTCTTCCTTTTCAATATGTGTAGGGCGAGCATTGAGCCAAATTTTCATGACTTGTACTTGAAGTTTCTGGAGAAAGTGAATTCAAAGCAATTAACCAAAGAGATTGTGCAAGCGACCTATGAGAATTGCAAGGTTTTTGTGCTGCTTTATTGTTTTTGCCTTTTTTTGAGTGGAGATAAATGTTTTGGGTGGATATATTGAGCGGCATGTACAATATTGTTCAGGTTCTTTTGGGATCAGAGCTTATAAAATCAAGTTCGGAAGAGCGTTCGTTGCTAAAAAATCTTGGGAGCTGGCTTGGAAAGATCACCATTGGCAGGAATCAAGTATTGAGGGCACGGGAGATTGATCCCAAATCCTTGATTATAGAGGTTATTGTTCTGTGGCTATATCTGTTTTTGAATTTTAATTATTCTGGGCTCCTCCCTCTGTATATAGGTCAAATTTTTACAATATAGGTCAAATATGTTTTTGATACTGATATGTGCAATCTATTCTATTTCATCTGCAGGCATATGAGAAAGGATTGATGATTGCAGTCATTCCCTTCACCTCCAAGGTTATGGTTATTCGGTTGTTGATGCTTTGGTTACTCTTTATCTTTTTTTTTTGTCAAATTTATTATTTGATGCAGGTTCTGGAACCAAGCCAAGGTAGCATAGCATATCGACCCCCTAACCCATGGACCATGGGTATTCTTGGATTGCTTGTAGAGATTTATGCTATGCCAAATTTGAAGATGAACCTAAAGTTTGACATTGAGGTATCTGTCTGTGCACGTCTTTTTCATGTAGCTGGCTCTCCTCGTGTTAATATGTTTCAAACTTCATTACCATATCTCTGATCCGTTCGGACTTTTAGGTGTTGTTCAAGAACCTTGGTGTGGATATGAAAGACGTAACTCCTACTTCTCTCCTTAAGGATAAGGTCAGAGAAGTTGAAGGAAACCCTGATTTTTCCAACAAGGATGTCGGATCTTCCCAACAACAGATGGGTGAAGTCAAATCTAGCATGATACCTGCAATAAATCAAGTTGAGCTGCCTCTTGAGGTTACTGGTCCAGCACATCCAGGCGGACACTCACGCGTATTATCTCAGGTTTGTCTTACTTCTGTACTATCCTGATTGAATGAGGATATGGACTTGTGATGTAACTGTATCAACTAATTTGTGCTTGTTTTAGTATGGTGGCCCTGCCCCTATGCATCTTTCATCTGGGGCATTGGCAGAAGATGAGAAGCTAGCTGCTCTAGGATTATCTGATCAGCTTCCTTCTGCACAAAGTCTTCTACAGGGGCAGTCACCATTCTCTGTCAATCAGGTTTGCAAACATTAAACTGAGTTTTTCCTTCATAGTGCTTTTGCAAATATTGATTTAATGGGCTTGGTTGTTGTCAGCAGCTTGCTGCACCAGCATCTAACATTGAGCAACAAGTGATTGTCAATTCAAAGCTTCATACATTAGGCTTGCACTTGCACTTTCAGAGGTTTGAAGCTACATTCTGAGCCAACTGGTGTAATTGCTAGTACATGGATGATTTTATAAAGACTAAACTTTTTATTTGCTGCAGTGTACTTCCAATAGCGATGGATAGAGCTATCAAGGAGATAGTTTCCAACATTAAACAACGAAGTGTTTCTATTGCAACTCAAACAACTAAAGAACTTGTTTTAAAGGTTTTTGTGGCAGTTGCTTTATGTTGCTCAGTTGTACTCTTAATGTTGTAATGGGAGGAGGTTTTATGTTTTTATATAATTTGGGATTCCAGGACTATGCTATGGAGACAGATGAGACACGCATACGTAATGCAGCACATCTTATGGTTGCAAGTTTAGCAGGAAGTTTAGCTCATGTTACTTGCAAGGTAAACATGGAAAATCTTTTTTAGTGTTTTGACTCAATCTTGTTTTGAGACCAATGCCCTTGGCTGTACTTTGACATTGACTTACTTTCTGTTTCTCACGTTGATACTTGCTGCTAGGAACCCTTGCGAGCCTCAATATCAAGTCAGCTCAGGAATTCACTGCAGGGCCTGAATATTGCAAGTGAACTCCTTGAACAAGCTGTTTTACTTGTGACCAATGACAATCTTGACCTGGGTTGTGCACTGATTGAACAAGCTGCCACAGAGAAGGTCAGGATAGATCAATTTTCTATTAATTGGTTAGGATCTGTGGTTTTGGATATATCTGCTTTGGCATTGATTTTATATTCTTTGGGCTGGGAAGCTTCCTTTTTGTCCATCCTGGGTTGTATGAACTAACCTTGACTTTGCATCTAATCCCTTTGCCATCATGCTTCCCTTCATGTGCATATCTTTGTTAATTTTGAATTTCATATTATTTCTTTTCAGTGGAGATTTCTGGTTGGATAATGAGGATGTTGTTTGGCTTATGTCTTGACTTGCTTGGCTCTTAATTCATGTATTTCACGAACTGGTTATAATTTCCTGACTTGTCTCTTCCTTCTCAAAATCCATCTTATACATTGTCTGCCATGTTCCCATGTATTTTGATTTTCCTTTCAAGTTGTGGATTACTCATACCCTTGTATGACCTCTGGAGCTTATCCTACTAAGTCCAATGTATCTTATGAGTAAGTTCATTCTTAATCTCTCGTCTTTTGTTGATGGTGAAGCTTGCATATATGCTGGCTTTCGATTTGCTATAGCTCTCACCGCGATAGTGGTTGTAAACATTTGTCTGATGTTGAATTTGATAAGCTCTGTTGCCAGTTTGTTGGAAACCACCAGAATTTCTTCTCTCTTTGTGAAGCTTGGTTTAGTTGCATTATGAAAGTGATTCGTAACCAACATACATCGTGGAATTTCAACATGCATCAGCATAGCCGCATGTTTTCTTTGAACCCTGTATTACACTCTGCGTTCTGTCCTTCTCCCCACCCCCACTTGCTGTTTCTTGAGTAGTGTGCCTTTCATTAGTAAAACCTGAAGCAGTTCATCCAAAAGGGGGCATACTTGCAGCATTTACAACTTATGGTCTATCCAATGTTACGACGACTTCTTGAGAATATAAATGCTCAATGATCCAGTCTATATCCCAATGCCTACTATGTAATTTTATTAGAGCGTTTATCGGTGTTTATAGATTTTGCCTTTATGACTAGATTAGTTAGATAATTTCACAACCTTTACCTCTCAAAACTCTTCTTTTTCCACCTTTTGTAGTTAGATTACTTTTATAGCAGCCTTATCTGATCTTTTTCTTTTCTCCACTTGTTTTTTCCTTTGTGTGATGCCATAAGCAGGCAATACAAACCATTGATGGAGAAATAGCTCAGCAGCTAGCTATAAGAAGGAAGCATAGAGAGGGCGTTGGTCCAACATTTTTTGATGCAAGCCTCTATACGCAAGGTCATATGGGTGTTTTGCCTGAAGCTCTTCGTCCTAAACCAGGCCGCCTGTCCCATTCTCAGCAGCGAGTTTATGAGGTAAGTTTATCGTGTCCGAAGGGAGATTAATTTGGTTTCATTGTTTGATTGTAATATATCACATTTTTCCTGCAGGATTTTGTGCGTTTACCCTGGCAAAATCAATCTACCCAGAGCTCAAATGCATTGCCTGTTGGCCCTCTAGTATCATCTACAAGCAGTAGTGTTTCGCGGGGATACATGCAAGCTTCAGGGCAATTAAATGCTGGAGTTTACTCTTCTGGAGCAGTAAGCTCAGGAATGGGTTCTGTTCCACAGCCCTTGGATGTTACGTCCGATGATCTGGATACAAGTTTGACTCAGATTCAAAGGTAGTAAATTACTTTGTTAGTGCTTCTGTGCTTCTAGTTTGTGTCTATGCTTTGTAGCAAATGATGTGCTTATCTGGCTGCTGCTTTTTTTTTTTCCTTCCTCTTTTTAATACTGAGTTTATTCCTTGCTTTCAGTGTTTCATCAGCTCATGTTGGGTTGGCTGACAGTGTCAGTCCACGCAATGTTGAAAGTGAAAATGTAGTTGCATCATTTTCTTCAGTGCCTACTGAACTACAGTCAGTTGAATCTGTTGTGAAAGTAAGCAAATTCTTTTGGTCATGTGTGCTAGTGGTGGTTTGTGTGTACAATAGACATTTGCAACCTATCATGTGACATCTTCCTTTCTTACAGGAACCAGGAACAGCAATGCAGCAACTCAATCAGTCTTCAGCTTCAGAGCGCTCTGGAAGCAGTGTACCAGAACCATTATCTACCACTGGTGATGCACTGGATAAGTATCAGGTTTTTGCTGAGAAGGTATTGAATCGCCTTTTATTTTCCTGTCTGATTTGTTTACTTCGTGAGGAAAAGGTAAGAGTAACTTGTCGTATGTAAGTCAGGGTTTCGTTCAGGCTTGTACATGGTTTATGTGATGTATAATCTAGCTTAGAATATTCAGCATGCGCATAGTTTGTGATTGTCGCATACTATATCGTCTTTCCCTCAAGGCATGTGGTGAAACAAAAGCAAAACAAGTATAATACACAGAAACAAGTCTATTATACGTGCATATGCCTTCATTTACCTTGTGTTTTTCCTCCTCTTCTTTTTCTTCTCCTGCTCCTCCTACACTTTTAGCTAATGGTGTTCCTCATCTTACTGGCGCACATCTGTGCTAGCAGTTTCTAGAGAGAACATTTTTTATTTTTGTTTGACTCTTAACATATTTTTTTTCTATGATTTACTTGAAATTGTCAGCTTGAAAATCTGTTGACTGGTGATGCCAAAGAAGCAGAGATTCAGGTATATTTCTTCCCATCTTAGTAGGGGATTCAAAATTCTGCTAAAAAGATACCCTCTGCTATTTTTCTTTTGTTTCACATCGATATTAATTGCTGATGGCAATATTAGCTTCTGCATGCTTGCATTCTTTGCTTGCTTTACTGTGAGGATGAATCTATCATGTTGCTTCCCAAAATACATGCTATATTTCTTCAAGTACTTTTTTGTTTTCTTTTTCAAGGGAGTAATTGCTGAAGTTCCAGCAATAATTTTAAGATGTATAAGTCGAGATGAAGCTGCATTGGCTGTGGCTCAAAAGGTGTGGCATTTTCCTTAATTTTTTTTTTATCAATGTCTGAAATCATATCTGAAGCCTGCTTTTCTATTTTATTTTTAGGCTTTCAAGGCTTTGTATGAAAATGCATCAAATATGGCACATGTCAGTGCTCATCTTGCTATCTTGGCTGCCATGCGTGATGTCAGCAAGCTTGTTGTTAAGGAGCTCACTAGTTGGGTATGTCCGAAGTGCTTCTCTTCAGTAGTAGTACATAGTTTAGGTGCTTATATGAACCATAAGCAACAAAAAATCCTTAAGGTAGTAGGAAGGGCAAGAAATTTCCTTGGGCTAGCATGGTAATCAATTTCTCATCCTTCTGCAGGTGATTTACTCTGAAGAGGAGCGCAAGTTTAACAAAGATATAACAGTTGGTCTCATACGAAGTGAACTACTAAACCTTGCTGAGTACAATGTGCATATAGCCAAGCTCATTGATGGTGGAAGGAATAGTATGTGCAATGAAAGCTTGTTTTAAGATATTTTCTTGGAATAAGTTACATGACTAACTATGATGTATGAATGCAGAGGCTGCTACTGAATTTGCTATTTCTCTTATTCAAACCTTGGTTATTGGTGATACCAGAGTCATATCAGAGCTGCATAACCTGGTTGATGCATTGGCTAAGGCATGCTTTTTCTCATCTTATTTTTTCAAATAATGCTATTAGTCCATATGGTAGACTAACATACTGTAATAATGCAGCTTGCTGCTAGACCAGGATCTCCCGAGTCTTTACAGCAGCTTGTTGAGATTGTGAAGAATCCATCTACAGCTGCTTTGTCTGGTATTGCTATTGGGAAGGATGATGCCACCCGACAGGTCAAAGACAAAAAGGTTACTGAAGATTGTCCTTTCACTCATCATTGTTTGCTACTTATTCTTCAAATGTTTATATATTTGCTTAACTCTTCAACAGGGGGCAGTGCTCTCTGCAGCAAGCAGGGAAGAGTATGGTGCAGGAGCAGATTCTGTTGAACCAGATCCTGCTGGCTTTCGTGAGCAGGTACATGCTATTCTTTAATTTATATGTATTATTTATTATCCTACAATTTGATGATGACTCGATGGAAAATCCTCTACTAGACTGTTACATTTGGATGACTTGATTATTATACAGCTTTTATGGATTAGTGGATGTGTGAAACTTAGTTATTATACTCGTGCTTTGCTTTGTAAGTATCTGAATGATCATGGCTGCTTTGGTTGAAGAACCTGATGGCGGGGGGAAGGAGGGAAGTTATCCTAGGATTTTAAATTTGGGGGGAGGGTGACTCGATGACTTTCTGGACATTTATGAGATTGGCTCTGGATTTTGAGATTAATACATATAATGCTTGTATGGTGTTTGTTTGTCATTGGCGTGAGGCTTTAACATGTATAGTGCTTATATTTTGGTGGACCAGTTACATTTTGAGTCTCAATCAATCGAGCTTATGTTGGTTGTTTCACGTTAATCACCATTTGTCCCATGCCAAGTATGTGTAATCATGACCTGGTATTAGGTTTCTCAGAGGATCTGGAGGTAAGAAGACGGAATTTTCTTAACGGTTGACTTGTTTACTAATCATAGCGACTAAGATGTTGAACGTGGAGATTTCGTCAAATTGTTGGATTATCAGTCCGATTAAATTAGGACGCAAATTTTTTATTTTGGTTATTGGTCCCCGAGCTAGTTCATCCAGCCTCTCTGCCGAAGTGGATTATTGTAGTGGTGATTGTTGTGGTGGTGTTTGGTAAGTTTTTTGATGACATTGTCTATATAGTTGCACAGAGACTATTCAAGGAAGCAAGGATTGAGTGCATTATGTTCCTCTATTGATGATGTATAGTGCTAACTATATTATCCAGCAAGCGATGCCTTCCATCATCTTTATATCAAGTAACCAAGATTCTTTCAAATGCCTTTCTCATGGCCAGTGCCTGCGGTCTAGATTGATAGATCGCAGACATCTTAGAATACAATTAAATAAATGAGATTCAATCAATGATAAGATCGTTCTTTACAAATACTGGCTCCTCTCCAACTTTTTTAGCCAAGTTGACATAATTCCAAAAACAAGGAAGACTGTGTTGCCTGCTCTCTTTAGCCAAGTTGACATAATTCCAAAAATAAGGAAGGCTGTGTTGCTTGCTGTATAAGCAACTAAGAATCTTTATGTTTTGACTAAAGCTTCTGATATTTTTTATTTGTGATGGTTTGGAGCCCAAGCTCTTGTAGACAGTACAATTGCTCATTATCAGAAGTTCATCGCTTTAGCTGTTGGTCTATGCAGTCAAGAATGAAGTGTATAACTTCATTTATTACTTTCTCACCATGCCTTCTTTACTGTTTCTCCTCTTTTGTGGGTTGGTGGGACACCAATAATCAGGTTGGGTTGTGCAAGAGCGATCATGGTGGCAGAGAATGTAACTAAGGGTGGTATATTGGATACTATTAGCCCCAGTGAACGGAGAGTTAACTTGAGATCTTTAAACAAATATAATTCATTTGAAAATACATCTGTTTTTGCATTTCCTCTGCTATATATTTCCATTATTCAGTTTCTTTACATTATGTTTTATTTAGTAACTTTCTTTCTTCTTATTTACTTTTTTACATTTTTTTGGGGGATGGGGGGTGGGGGGTGGGTATCAGGTTCTAGGCAATCAGTTTTGAGGATAGTAATTTCAGTAGCTCATGGATTCATTAGATGTCTGGTTGAATATATTTTAGTTGTAGTTATGCATATGGGTTAGTAATATATTTTATCATGTTCTTTTGGACTTGGTAGGTTTCCATGCTATTTGCGGAGTGGTATCGAATTTGTGAACTTCCTGGGGCTAATGATGCAGCTTGTGCACATTATGTTTTACAATTACAGCACAATGGCCTACTTAAAGGAGATGATACCTCAGATCGCTTTTTCCGCCGCCTAACAGTAAATTTTTGTTCTTTTTCTTAGATTTTTTCCCCTTTGCCTGAATATGAATTTCACTATTCTTTCTTTAATGTGTCAGGATCTTTCAGTTTCGCATTGCCTAACTTCTGAGGTGATTGGATCTGGTCCTTCCCAATCACATCAAACACAACCTTTATCATTCCTTGCTATTGATATCTACGCCAAATTAGTATACTCAGTTCTGAAGGTAGGTTATTTTATCCAACATTATCTGATAGGATGTCTTTGGATCTGAAAATAAATACTTGAATATTTGGCCTTAACAATTTTTTTTCTTGGCTTTCCATTACTTGTAGTTTTGTTCTGTAGACCAGGGATCTAGCAAATTATTTCTTCTTCCTAAGGTTTGTATCCCTCCTAAATGTTTTCTCAAATTCTGATTATCGGTTTTGGAAGCTGAGTATGCCTTTCAAATAATATTTGGGCAGGTTCTTGCGGTGACCGTGAAGTTCATTCAGAAGGATGCTGAGGAGAAGAAAACATCCTTTAATCCAAGACCATATTTTAGGCTCTTCATTAACTGGATCTTGGATTTGTGTTCTCTGGAACCTGTTTTTGATGGCGCGAACTTTCAGGTACTGAAATATGGTATGTATGTGATGGCTGCAGCTTCTTCATGAGCTAATCTGTGATTGGTCTTTGTCAGGTATTGACTGCTTTAGCAAATGCCTTCCATGCTCTCCAGCCCCTTAAAGTTCCAGGGTTCAGGTCTGTACCAATTTTTGAAGCCTCTATATTTACAGATACTGTTTTATAATTTCTGTTCTGACTTATTTCTATCCAAAAGTCCACATGCCATCCACCCGTATCCTTTTCTGGGCTGGTTCACATATGACTGCATTTTGTGGTCCTGTTTTTACTCCTTTTCTAATGTTGTGATTTTTGTCAAATATTTCATGATGAAGCTTGTTTAGCCTCGTTGCAAAAGCACGCTAGATCTAGAAAAATTTGAAACCTACTACCTTGTGGTAATCTGTATGGTCAAGTAACGAGTTTCTTCTATCCCTTAGATTAACCAGGTATATACACTTAAGTACTTACCTTGGTAATTTGTGAATTTATTTGCAGCTTTGTGTGGCTTGAGCTGGTGAGTCATAGAAGCTTCATGCCAAAATTACTTGCCGGAAACGCTCAGAAAGGGTGGCCATACATCCAGCGCCTCTTAGTTGACATGTTTCAGTTCATGGAGCCATTTTTGAGAAATGCTGAGCTTGGAGAACCGGTTTGCATCATCAACTCATTGTTTTTTTCTTCTATTCTTCTCTTATTACTGACCAACCCTTTGTCAATTTTTAGATCCATTTTCTCTATAAAGGGACACTAAGGGTGTTGCTGGTGCTGCTTCATGATTTTCCCGAATTCCTATGTGATTATCACTTTAGCTTCTGTGATGTCATCCCTCCTAGTTGCATACAGATGCGAAACATTATCCTGAGTGCATTTCCTCGCAATATGAGGCTACCTGATCCCTCAACTCCAAACTTAAAGGTTTTTAACTTGATTTAAGAAGTTATTGTAATCTTTTTACACGAAAGTGTTTTTTTTTTTTAACTTGATTGTTTCATATATAAGATTGATCTTCTGGCGGAGATTAGTCAATCACCACGGATTCTATCGGAGGTTGATGCTGCACTTAAAGCAAAGCAGATGAAGAATGATGTAGATGAATACCTAAAGGTAATCCTCAAATTACTTTCCTTCATTTTTGGCACGTGTAAAGTGGCCAAGTGCAGAAAATTAGGTTTAATAAGAAACAGGTGACAATTTTATTTTAGCTGCAGTCTCCTTTTTAGTTCTTTATTATGTTCTGTTTTTAGCTTTTTCTTATGTTTGTATATGCTGCAGACAAGGCAACAAGGGTCTACATTTCTCACTGATTTAAAGCAGAAACTTCTGCTTTCTCCAAATGATGCTGCCAGAGCTGGAACTCGTTACAATGCACCGCTCATCAATTCCCTTGTGCTGTATGTTGGGATGCAGGTAAGCTCAAATTCACTCCTTTTGCGGCTGTTATTTCCTACTTTTTGGTCTGATTCCTGCTGCTTTATTTGTTATGAGGAGCCATTTTTAGACCTGTCTGTTGGTTTACTGTATTGTGTGGTTTGCAAATGAAATGTTGCCGAACACTGCTGCAGGCTATACAGCAGCTGCAGGCAAGAACCCCACCTCATGCACAGTCAATGGCCAGTAGTGTTCCACTTGCTGTTTATCTGGTTGGTGCTGCTCTGGATATCTTCCAGACATTAATAATGGATCTAGACACTGAGGGACGTTATCTCTTCTTGAATGCGGTTGCTAACCAGTTGCGTTATCCAAACAACCACACACACTACTTCTCTTTCATCTTGCTCTACCTATTTGCAGAATCAAACCAGGTAAAGTATTCCTGCTTTCTGTTGACTTGTGGTATTAGGAATTTTGTGCTGAATGGATAGTGTGGTACTTGCTGCCATCAGGAATTGACATTGATGTTAACCTTGGGAATGTGGGGGGCCTGTAGGGACCTTGTTGAGCTGATTTGGTGTCATTTAGTTTTGATTAGACATGAGAAAGCTACAAATATTAGACTGAAAAGATGTAAAGAAGCTAGACATATGTAGGCCTTCTACTGTTTTGTCATACTCCAACATTTTCTAGTGGTACGAAACCTGGAAAAGGTTTTTGTGTGATCGCATAAAGAATTTGGATGTTAACTGATGTCTTGTTTTATATAGTTCAAGTATGCTTTTCATTCAATACTCTTTTTTGGGCTTATTTTAGAAAAGCACTTGTGTTCCAAAACTGTTCAATTCTGAGTTGTGCGTCATGGGTTCTTCTATTTCACTTCTCTTTTGACAAGCTCCTATCTTTGGTATACCTTAGTTGTAGTTATAAATCTAAATTGTTCTCTTCGATATGTTCTAGACTTGCTCCAATGCTTTCCATTACTTGTGTGGAATTGAATGGGATTTAACTTCACGCTTTATTACGTATTTGTCATGCCTGTAGGAGATGATTCAGGAGCAAATCACTAGGGTATTGTTGGAGCGCCTAATTGTCAATAGGCCACATCCTTGGGGTTTGCTGATTACTTTTATTGAGCTTATTAAGGTGACCTTTCTGCTTATTTATAAATAGATGTTTGTTCTTTTACACATTGCAACTGTTTCAAACATTTTCTGTTTCATATCCAGAATCCTAGGTACAACTTCTGGAGCCGTACTTTCACTAGATGTGCACCAGAGATTGAGAAACTCTTTGAATCTGTTTCGAGATCTTGTGGTGGTCCTAAACCTGTCGATGAAAGTGTAGTTTCTGGTGGGAGCAATTGAAAGCATCATAAAATTATGATAAATGTACTATGAACTATTCAGTCTATTGTTCTGATTGCACAAAGGTGGATTATTGTCATTTCTATTAACATAGCAGGAAGATGAAACGAGCTTTTGTTAAATGACTAGACCAACTCCTAATAAATCAAGAAAGGTCTTCTTCACTGTCTGTCGTCCAACAGATCGCTTCAAATAGTGCAACCATTGTTATAAGAAACATGGTCAAAATTCATAATATTAGATATAGTTATTACCACAATGAGCATCTTCACATTCTTTTTCTCAGTCTATATTTTGAGAGTAGTCAAATATGACAACCTTTAAAATGACTGAATTACGTGATAACAATATGGTATGCCCTTTGCAAATTTCAAAGTGAAGTAAATAGTCATAAAATGTTGTTAAAATAATAGCAAAAATATAATGTTAAATAAAAACCTTTCCAAACATTCTGATCTCATCTCTTTCTTCATTTTTGTAAACTGGTGTAGCAGACCATACAAAATATCCTCTTGATTTTCAGAAACGTATCCCATGTAAAATTAGAGTCCAACGTTTTAGAAGCTACCAAAGCTTGAAATCAGCAAACGAGAGCTGAACTCTTTATCGCTCACTGAGTCGTTCAAGCAGATCTCCAAAGTCTAACATTGTATTGCTTGTTGACGGTAGACCACATAGCTTTCATCGTCCACCAATAGGCCCTTGGATTGGTGATGCACCAAAAGCTCATCTCTGCGTGTGTACCACGAATCTCAGGCAATCCTACATCGAGTACTCTCCAAACCCATTACATTTCAGGAGATTGAAGAATGATCCGCGAATATGACCATTCACCGCTTTAAACGCCCGACGATGGGATCAAATCTAGATCTTGATTACCATTCTGATTCCAATTAGCAAATGAAGATCTAAAACTGATTGCTCGTACTTGACCCACATACATTCATTAAATCTCATCTCGTATATCATTGAATTTCCATGTGTTTACCATTTAAACATTAAAATGCATAAATTGATCCCACATTTATTAAACCACTGCCCTCCCCCAAACCCAAAAAAAAAAAGAAAAAAAAAGCGCTCTTCCGAAATCTTCTCCTTTCAGACGAAGACTGTGTGGTGAATCGCTTGTAGTCCTTCGAGTTGCATTTTCCTAACCGACCTTGGTCATAATTCCTTACAACCAAGTGACTGCAACTTACATCTACAAGTAAGAATCGAGAGAAGTTCCTTCAACTAATAATACGCCGGTTCCTGTCAAACATCTAGACTTGAATTGCTAAGCTAGTACAATCGAGTTCAGACTGCAATAAATAACATTAAGACAAGCCCAAGCAATAATGCTGGCAATCGAAGTATTTAGTAAGGAGAAAATCCAAGCCTCCAACCAACGTTGAGGGGGAAAAAATCTTTGCCTAATGCCTTTATTTTTTATTTTTTATTTTTATTTTTAAATTTAATCAGGGTTATGCATTATCTAGTTAATAGTTGTGAGTTGGTTTGCCGTCATTCTGGTGATAACTGGAGTAGGAAAATTCTTACTACTCCAAAGAACACTATTATCCTAAACAGAAATAGTAGCGTAGCACTCTGTCTTGTTTATATTTGGCCAGAACGAACACATCATGAACAAAACAATGTCAGTTGATGAATACATCTCCCTTAATTCAACATTAATATGACCCAAAACTCCCACTTCCACTCTAAGTTTTGAAATACAAAACAAAGTAAAAAAAAAAAACTATAATTAAAACTGTCTCAACTTCAACTAGTAACTTTTCTTATTCACGCCAGATGTTAATGGGTATCACATCATAGTTAAGCCTCCCTACGGACAAAGTACAGCTTACCCATGACATGAAGAATTGCAACAAATGCTATGAAACCAATGCTCATGACAAGCACAACATTGGGAGAAATCTTGAGCCCTGGAGCATCATCTGTGTAAAATTGAAGCATGGTACCACCTGCTCCTCCTGCAGCCCCGCTGCTGCTTGGCCTCCTCCGACGCGTGTTTGCAGCAGCAGCCGCTGCAGTTCCTCTTTGTGGAGCTGCCCCACCCAATGCCATCTGCATACAAAACATTTGAGACATTTAAAACCAAGCAATTTTCAGTAATTTCCAGCAGTCTACAAAAGTCCAGCTAAAATGATAGGTAAAAACAAAAAGTGCTTGTAGTGGAATGGTCGCAGATAAAAGGGATCAGAAGACAGGACACATCTATCGAAGTCCACATTAAGGCAGGAGGATTTCATTACAGACCAGTACTTGCCTCCCAGAGATCATCAAAGGAAAAAGACTAAAACGCAGATTGGTTACCACAAAAAGCCAAGCAATTTATTTCACTCATGGTTAGAAACTTTATTCTTGATGAGAAGGGAAACTGAACCAGTATCCTAAGCAAAAGAAATTCTGGTGTACTGATATTTTAAAAAGCATATAAAAAATCCCCACCAATTGCACCAAAATCTGTATCATCTCTCCAAAGCAAACCATCACCCTTTCACTGGTCTAGCTGGAAACTTGGTCAAACACAACAGACATCGAATTCCAGGCAAACCATTCCCCATACCACGCATTGCTGCATTCAGCAATGCTTTTGTGCAAACCAGTCAAGCAAACGTACACTACATTGTTCAATAAAACTGAAATTGTATTCTATTAATTCACAAATCAAATTCCATAAAATACAATTCTAATCGCACTCGTTCTAAATCTAATGAAGCAAAGTTACACAGCTCGGCTGGCATAGGAACTTATAACTTGTAAGGCGTGAAGCCAGAGTCGATTCTAACCTATTCTTATCCATTTCACCTGATCAACAACCATAATCGAGCCATTCTTGTCAACAAATCAGTATATCAATTCTTCATTACAACCATAACACTTCAGTTTCCAATGATCTTTCTCAACACGAGAAATTAAACTTAAATTATTTAGCCTCCCCTCGTTCATAAAATGAAATTCTACCCCAATAAAAATGAAATTCAACTAAACACACGGGAGGATAGATAATTAAGAAGCAAATCGAAGAAAATAGATTAAGTGGGGAAAAAACATAGCAAGCAGATCTATCAACAAGACACTCCACAAATCAGAACATCTAAAAACATCCCAATTCACAAAGCAAAGATTCCGCAGATAGCATATTAAGATCTCATATTATTTAGAAAACAAAAATAAATCAGATCCGACAAGAACAAGGAACAAAGCTGACGTAGATACATTCGCGAGATGTAAATTTTAAAAATTTAGACTGACCTCAGCTTCTGGAGAATTTCCGGAGAAGAATAGGGTGGAAGACGATGATGCTGTCGATTTTAGGGTTTTTTGGTCGGAAATAGAATCCCAGATTCTGTTGACTGGAATTGCGTACAGCTATACAACTTTTTTATGTGTGTACATATATATATACACACACCCAGGCCACATAGGCTTCCCCAATCAGAACTGTCCACGTCAGATTGGGGGCTTCTCTCATCTACATCTACTTGGACCGGATGTTTTCAGGCTATGTTATATCAGAATACGTGAGAAGTTAAGCGAATAGTACCGTACTAGCATTTGTGTGTTTTTTTTTTAATGACACGATAGATATATATATATATATATATATATATGAGATAAAAATGTAGTTGAAAATGATGTAAAATTTGTTATTTGAGAAAATTTTTTGTGAAGCATAGATATAGATGTGATGTGAGATAATAAATGACAGCATTTAAGAAAAAGATTTCAAAAACCAATTTTTTTGTTTTAAGAATATGTTGTCGGAGGAGGAACTGTTGCAATTTCCCTCAAACTTTCTTTCGGGATTATAAAGCTACTTTCACTTCAGCTCTGCTGATCTTTTACCGTGTCAGCATCATCAAAGAAAGAAAGAAAGAAAGAAAGAAAGAGCAAAATATGCTTTGAGAGTGTGTTTGGATAGGAGATTGTACGCATGTTTCTTAGTATTTCTCTTTTCTTTTCTTTTTAAAGATTTTTTCAATAAAATTTATCGAAATTTCATTCTCAATTCCAAACGTTTTCATAGTTTATTAGTCATAATAATATTTTAGGATACCACTAAGCGTATATATATATATATATATATATATATGTAATGTATCCCATTTAGTTTAAATCTTTATTTTTTTTAATAAAAAATTTGCAATTCACAATTTTGAAAATTTGTCCGTCTAAAATTACATATATGAGATTGAATTTTGTCTACAGTTCGCTCTCTTTGACCTGCATATTACAAGCATACGTCCGTCATCCTATGTGTCAATTGATCATATTCATACCATACCACTATAACAAAGTCTAATTTGCAAAATGTTTCCCCAACTCTTCGTGATAGAATAATGTATGGATATGATTTTAAATAGCCAATGGATATGTTCAAAAATGCTCGCACAAGTACGATGGATGGAGTACTTCGTACTTGTGGAAAGGTCCGTCCAAGCATATGATAGGCAAAATAGACAAAGAGGATGTATCATGTATGGGGTAAAAACCAGCCAAACTTGTGGCCATTCTTGAAGGGGTGAAAAGGTGTAGTCCAGCTTTATCTTCATGCCTCTACAACTGGGAGGGAGAACATCACAGTACCACACGGCACGCAATTCTTTGAAACAAGGTAGAAGAAATTCCAGAGAATAATAATTGCTGGAGAAATTCGAGACTCAGGACACAAACTGTAAGGTAGAAGAAAGGAGCTCAATTCTTTAATGACATTTAACTAAGGCTACAAAAATGTTTTCCAGAGAATGACAAATCATTCCCTTCCACTTGCAGATTACTACCTTCTCTATGCTTTGAGGTCCTAATGAAGTAAAATCCATGTAAACTGCTCTTCTGATGTTTGAATAATTCAATCAATGCACAAACCCACAACCTAGTTTGAAGTCGGCATACTACAGTTACATGCAAGCAAAAATGAAATATCAGGCAAAAATCGGCATCTTACATTGAAGAGAAATAAGCTCATTGAATGTCTCGTGGAGATGAAACATCTG